TACTCCCCTTTTGGGAGTATAAGTTATCGCCACAACGCAGGTACGCCAGTTCCACGATAGTGTAAAGCAAGACCGAAGCTCTTGGCCGTCCGTGACCACGCGCCGCGAGTTTAGTGTATCGTACGAACCGTGAAGCAAGCGAAAACAGAGACCCCCAGTGTGATTGACCGGCGAGTGAATACAAGAACAAACGAGAGACGAACAACACCCGAAGTCGCCGAAAGGGTAGGTGACAACAGAGACAGAATATATACATCTATTGAAGACCCATACATGTCTATCTTTAATTATTGAAAGCCCATCCTGTACTCCTACACTACCTGCGAGGAAGGTCAAGGTACGCTTTAGCGTTTTGATCGGCAGAACCCAGAACATAGAAACAGCGAAATAACCACTCCTAAGGTGGTACGTAACAATGTACTATCTGTAATCATTACTTGCGTGCACCCCCGCTATCATGTCCACTCTAGTGCGCATGCGTAATAGACTATCCTACCCAAGTACTCGCGCTGGCCCAAGACCTCCCGCGAAGATAAAAAGGGCCACGGACCTATGTATATTTTTATGGACAAGACGGGTCACTGCTTCAAAGACGCTCTCTTGAGTGGACATCGAAAAGACAGTAACCCCTGCCTGGCTCCGACCTTGCTCCCTTGAAAGAACAAACCCGGACCACGAGGCAGCCCTTGTTCCACGAGGTTGAATTTTTTCGAATCACCGGCCGAGTGTTTTATCCGCGTACGAACTTTGTAGTGTTTAAGGACAAGCTGTGACTCGGTAATAATAATCAGTGAAATACATACTTTGTAAGCATACGCTGCTAGTGGTGTTCCCTGTGTTTTCGGTCACCCCCGAACCCCTGTAGCTATATAAGGTTACAACTTGAATTTAAACGTAAGGCGAAACAGACTGTTAAATATTTTGTTATTTTTAGGGCATATTTATGTCGGAGTTGTGAGAGAAGTTGCGTCGATCAAAACGATCATAAAAGGTACTAAAAAATATTTTTCTTTGATGTGTTTATAATGAAGCTGTGATATTAGTACACGTTTAGTAGTTTAATATTTCACAAAAGTGAACCATTTCAACCTGAGTGATTTTGAAAAAGAATTATTATTATCTTCAAATTCCGCAAAATGATACGCCGGGAAAAATGTAATGAATAGTATTTAATTTAATGGCCAATTCAACCCATAACTTATCTAAAACAAATGTATTATGATAATTTATATCTCTCTGATTCGATAAAAGAAATCTAATAAACATTTATTAATTTCTAAATATCCACTGTTAATAAAGTTATGTGTCGACGATGAAAACGACGATAATAGCGAAGAAAAATTACTATTTGATTCTCATCGCTTGTATCGTTGGAGCAACAATGTTTCAATGTAAACAGTTCCATTATAATGTACTTATACGCTTCACCTTATCGTCACGTTGGTCGTTTGTCGCAGCTCCAACATAAATGTACCCTTTATTTGAAATTTCTAATCGTAAAATAATATAAATAAAATAGGTCTTGATAATGGATCTATCAACCAATTTAATAATTAGCATCATCAAATTGAACGATTCACTGACGATAATTTTTTAAATAAAAAATGCGGTGATAGTAACTTGTAAATTATATCATTAAAAATTACATCATTCATTAATAACTTTACAAGTTGTTAAACTGCACACTAAGGGATTTCCTGGATCATATGATTCAGGAGCGATGAATATACGAATTATGTGATAGGAAGGTAATACCTCTCGAAGTTATACGATCTGGCAGTGGTTATTCCCTGATCACAGTATCAGATTCCAAAACTATTAACCTGTAGGAATTAAGACTTCTGGAGCCATGTATCAGTTACTGAATCATACGAACTATAGATTATTCCAATTTCGTAGCTGAATAGTTGCTCTATCCAATGATAGAGGGAAACTTCAGATGTTTAGACATCCCCTCTGATTTTTCATTTCTATAAAATCATGATTATAGCAACTGTTCAAGGCAAAATTTGTGAAAACTCTACAAATTAAACAAATACAAAGTGATTTAGAATTTAGGATCAAAAATGAAGTACACACCCTTTCTATTACATAAAATTACTGATACCGCAAAGTTACAAACAGAAGCATATAATACACCTTACAGTGTAGTGGTTTTAACTTTTAACACTTACAAAGTTGTTTTAAAAATAGTTGCAAATATTCTCCGACTTTATGAAACTAACGTGTAATTTAAAATTTTGAACAATGAAAACAGCTGCGCTAAAAAATGTAATATACTACTTGACAAAAATATGGGAATCACAAGTTTTAACGAACGTATAAAACGTTGTTTTTCATTAAGTAAATCTGAAAGCAAGTATAATAAAATAAAAGTATTGTTGACAGACAACGTTCGTAAATTTCTTACCTAACAATTTCATGGACGTTCTATCCACCTTCCAATTAGATTTTTCTGACTTCTATATTTATATAAAAAGGCAAACATAATATTATACAAATAACTTATATTGTCTGTTCAAAGTCTAAACCGCTTTGAAGACAAATTTGTAATGCTCATGTTATTCGCAACTTTCCTCAATTTTCCCAATCAATATAAGTATAATCGGAGGTTTGATTAGGTTTTCTTAAAATTCTGAAATTAGACTATTAGAACATTAGAGAATTAGAATATTAAAATATTAAAACAATAAAATATTAGGAAGTTAGAAGATTAAAAGACTAGAATATTAGAAAACTAGAAAATTAAACAATTCTAAAATTCTAAGCTCCTAAGACTTTAAGATATTAATTGTAAGTTTCTAAGATCCTAAACTCCTAAAATTCTTTAATAATATAAAAATAAGTTAGAGATGAAGAGAGGGTTAAAACCTAATTTTTTAAACTTGTACTATTATTCAACTCACCGATAACTCAATTGTATACGATTCATATACCTTATAAAATAAAATTTTGAATAAAATAGCTCCATATTTTTGACCTACACTCTATAAATCGCCTTTTCGAAGAACTGCTGTTGTATGATTGTCGATGTGTATCTTGTGTGAATAAAAAGTGTAATACAACTACATGTTCAACTGTATTGAATATCCGTAATAGTCCAAACAGAATCACCAACAACACGCAACGTGAATAATCATTCAAGTTGATAGGCCATAATGAGGCTGTAGTATGCGCCGGTTGCTGTTCCGCGTTACAACGGAGTCTTCAACGAAAATAAAACCAACCCTTGGCTCGCGTGAAACACGAACTTTGGGAGACGCCCGTATTTTCCAATTTGCCCTTGCGAATGATATACGAGGTAATTTCTAATCGTAATTCGAATATTTCAGGGCGTGTTTTGCGTGCTACGACGATGTGATCACTAACCAGAACCTGGAATAATTACGATGAGTTAGAAAAGTACAGGGTGACCCAACTGGAATTGAAGAATATAAAAGTTGAATAACTTTTGCAAAGAAAAAGGTATTTGTACCTATTTTCTGTTATTTGTGATAAAATTTGTGTATCTACGTATGAAATATAATAATAGCCTGCAATATCTCCCATTTTCTTTATGACAAATATTGGTCCTTTTCAGCACTGGCGTAGCTAAAATTAGTGGAGGTGCTGCTCCAGAAAATTTTTAACCTTTGTTTTAAAAAACCGGCACTGCGGGAGCGACAGTGCTCTTTCTCCCGCGCAGCCTTGCGCGCAGCTTCTTATGTGCGCATGCGCACACAGTCAAACATCACGCAATTGGAACTGTGAAGCGCACAGTTCCATACAAAGATTTTTGTATCTTTTTCATAAACTGGGGGATGGCTACTGACATTAAGCTTTAGGATTATACTATATTGTACGAGTATGAAGAAAGAATTAAAGAAAAAAGAACTCATTATATTAAATGTTATCGATAATATCAAGTGGAAATAGGGGGTGTTGCAGTTCCACAGTGCCTATACGCGAGCCGCTACTCCTTTCCAGAGTATTTTATATTACTACTTGTAAGTTTCGGACTGTAAATTTCAAATTTCAGCGTGAATGATATCCGTCAGTCGCTGAATGGTTTGGAATTTATTCATATACACTCGTTCCTTTAAATATTCCCACAGGAAGAAATAAGAGTTCCCCTACCAAATCGGGGAATGGAGGTATTATGATATGAAAAAATTGAGGATTTCTTCGTTGAGTTAAAATAACAGATCGTCTAGTGGAATAAAAAAAAATAGGTGGCAAATAGGAAAATAAGAAATAAAAGAAATTAATAGCAGGAAACTTATTAAGCTTTACATTCTTCAGTTTCATTTGAACCATCCTGTGTTTGCACTTTTCAATTTTTCCTACTTTATACAACAAAATGGAAGAACAGTGTTACGTGCGGCGCGCGCGCGTGTGATTGTGACGCTACTGTGTGGAAGTGTCAGCTGATGTATGAATGCAAGAGTGTGAAATGTGGTAGTGTGTTAGTCGAGCAATGCAACTATCGATAACGTAACGCGCGTGTGACGCCGTGAAGCCGGAAAATTTACTAAATATTTGTGAGTTCGGAGATACGCTAGTCCCATACGGGCCCTTTCATCAGATCGCTAATATAATAGGATTTATGAAGGAGGCTAATAACGGTTATGTCAAAGAAAATTAGATTTGATTAAAATGAATCAAATGGTATATTATAAAATAAAAATGTTAAAATATAATGGAATACATATAATATTGAAAGGTATAAAATATATAAAATATTGAAATATAATAATAATAGGTGTAAAATATTAAAATATAATGAAATACAATAATGCGATTAAATATAAGAAAATGCAGATTTAGCTCGCGAACAATTTAGATTTGAGACACACAATTATTGGCCGGAAATAGACAAATACATGTGATTAAATACAATTTAGAATTAGGAATTTCCAATTGAAGAAGACTCTTACAATCAAAATTGACTACGTCAATTTTGACTACTGGAGATTCCTCGGCAAAATATTCATAAAATGACCTCAATGAAAACGACTCACCGGATTATGTGGAAAAACTCCTATTGCTGCTATTTCTCTGCTGACTGGTTTCTGGAGGGAGAAGAGTAGAGCACACACCCTGAACTGTTGCACCGATACACAATTATAACGCGTGAACTATTACGAAGTCTATTAAACTAAAACTACGTAAATGTATGTATTTATAAAGAAATAAAATTAAACTGAAGAATAAAAATAATGAATAAAATAATAATCGGAATAAACGAAAAATAAAAGGGATACGCGAAGATAGAGTCTTTTGCCCTATTCGCTACTTTCGAACAACTTGGAACAAAACTCGTCTCTGGACCACTTCGAGGACCCGCCGACACGCTACGCGCGATTATACGTCGAAGAGTGTCACAATCTGCACCTCTCGGAGAAAACCAGAGCGGGCCTCGTCCGAAATTGTTTACATTGCGTTGTTGTGCGCCTAACGAATTAGGCGGCGGTGTCGATGCGTAAGGAGGCGGGATTCGCTTATCGGTGGTGCAGCAGGGATATGTGCGTTCCTCTCTGTTTTAATCTTTCTCTTTCTAATTCGCGTATATTCCTTTACTATTCCTGTCATACTAAAGACTTCGTTATTCATTAAAATATAATAAATTTTACAAAATCGTTTTGTGCTTAACGTTATAGGAAGGAAACATGCTTTTCAAAATTATTACAGATTACTGAATTTGAACGAATGCTAAATAAAAATTTAAATTCACAACTTGGACTGACCGACGTGGCGGAAATACAATATTACAGTGTTTAGTGAATTAGTAGAAAATTTGGATTATTATAATGTATGTATAAGGAATTTCGATCATCTCCGCGGAACCGATAAGAAACGTTCTAGAGTGGTCAGGATTATCGGACCACACGAATGATGTTTCGGGTTTACATCCGGCGATATTCAGTACCAAGGACGACACGTGATTTTGAGCTGTGGGACCACGCTGATTTCGAGGAAGGAATTTGTTGAGAGGGAACACAAGGTGAATGTGTAAAAATTTCTGTTCGGAACGTAACAACAGTATTAAGTTTATCATTTAATAAGGTTTGCATCTCAATTTTAAAAATAAATGTGCTTGTACTGCTTCTTTCTTGCGAAAACTTGAAATACTTGAAAAACTTGATGTTATAATTCTAAGAAATCCAAAAATTAAAAATCCAATTCATTTTACTTTATATAGAAAAGTACACCACTAGTATGTAGCTTATTATTTGATAAGGTTCATCGTATTGTGGATTTCAAAATATGTAAATGTATTTATGTTCCTTTCTTCTTGTAAATACAAAATTACTCTTAAAATGATCAAGTATTTTATTGGACTGTTTCAAAACTTCCGTTGCATTTCCGTATTTTCCATTAGATGAACAGAATTCGATTCGAACAAACGAGCAACAACGATAAACAAGCACTGGTTGAAATTGAAAAAATAGCGTGTGTTAGGAAATTTCGTTCCGCATAGAATCGTTCGTTTTAATTATCGGCCGCGTTACCATTGTAACGTTTTCATCCAGTAGCGAACGGACGATTTGTTAAAGCGGAAGTTAACAGGATACGAGCGCCGGAAGCGAGAGGATGAAGAGAAGCCATGGAAACTGGTTCGGTGAATTTTACGGAACAACGTTGACTTTATTGCTAATAACCTTTTTCAAACATCTCCATAAGTGCCCCCTAGCAAATTTCGTATAAATTCAATAACTTTACCCTACTATTGTTAACGACGTATTTATACTTCATTAATTGTAAATGGTATTATATGTATATACAATTATTAATCGAGATGTAAGGGGTAAATTTTTGCTGGCAGAATTAAGATTAGTAATAAATAAATCATTTAACAAGTGGTAGCGATTGCTAAATAAATGCAGTATATAAGCATTTATTCATACTGAATTCAATGTTTAAATAGACTAACTAATTATGTTTCATTAACAATAAATTTCACTTTGTATTTTTCACTTTTTATTTTTGTGTATTAATAAAATTGCTTCCATTTAATAAAAAAATTCATGTTTTCTACAAAATTTAATTTTCTATTTTTCGTCGTATTTCGTGTATAAAATAATTTCTCTTTAATAAACAAATGAAGTTTATATTTTTTACCTATCTTCTGAATATTAAAATAATAACAATTCGTTACTGAAAAAATTTAACTTTGTGTTTCCCATCCTCTCCAGAATACTAATAATTTCTTTTTATCGATGAATTTAATATCATATTTTGCAATGTATCTTCTGAACACTAATATAATAATTTATCCTTAACAAAAAATTGATTTTCCTATTTTTCATCGAACCCTTCGAGTAAGATATGATAACATTTCTTTAATAATCGTAAGAATTTAATTTTATATTTTCCATTGTATCTTCTCAATGCTAATAAATTTCATTATTAAAAAAACATAAGTTCCTACTTCTCATTGTACCCTTCAACCCTTAAGTAGGTACGGCAAAATCATACATGTGGGCGCATGGATACATTAGCAACCATAACTTTCTTTTTAAGATCTAAATAAACTAAGAGCCATAAAAAATTATAGGAATATGAAATATTTCTTTATTCATATTGAGAAGCTGCTTGTGGTCAATCGTTTTTTGACGTGCCTATGAGCCCATGTGCCTATTCAAGGGTTAAATACTCCAGCATATTTCACTGCTTCATTTTTCTTCTTGAACACTGAGGTCAAATCTTACAAGCACTATAAAGAAACTTAAAAAAACTTAAAAAGTTGACAATCAAATAAATCAAACTATCTGTCTTCGTTTGGTTTCTTTCATGAGTATCCACAAATGATTATGTAACGCAAATAAGTGCTGCTGAAACGAAACTGGTAAGGCATCAAACTAATTCACTTCGTTTTCAGCAGGATATTTCTCCGTCAAGGAAACTATTTCTACGGGTATGTTCAGCCGTTTTGTAATGATGCCTTTCGCAGAATTCCTGAATCCTTTGACAAGCTTCTTCCAACAAGTCCATGGGCACTGTTATCACCAATCGCATGTAGGACGGATAATCAAAGCACTACAAAAATAATTGAGAAACATGTAATCAGTATAAATGGTGATTCGATAGTAAATGACTGATTTAAGAGGAGTACCTGGCCAGGAAGGCAAAACACGGATTCCTCCATTAACAGCCGTTGCACGAATTCCAAGTCGGAATTAAATTCCGGAAAACAAGATAGATCTATGTGAACCTGCAAATCAATAGAACCATTTATAGCCAACTTACTTCTGAGATGGTTTTATCACAAAACTGTTTTAACCCTTCCAAACCAACATTTTCCATGATTAATAAAAATTTTGTTATATATAAATTATTATAACTTTTGAAATATTTACAATACTGGATTGTTGTATTCATGATTATATGTATAGTTAGAATCAATACTCATTATATCTCAAGTATGAAATTTCTATTGTAATTGAAAGTTGATTAGTTACATTATGAGATAATTGCAAATGCAAACATTAATGTTGTACAAGTAATTACCATCATGTACATCGCACCATCTGGCATTATTGGTTTCAATCCAGGAACCTTTATTATACAGTTGTATGCTACCTTTGAATGATTCTAAAAATAAAAAATAAATAATTAGAATATTGATAGAATACATGTGCATCCAGAAAATAAATACTGTTTTCTTCTGATGTGTTTAAAAATATTTTCTATACATTTTTAAATTAAGTGATATTTTAAGAGTCAATATAAGAATCATTCATTTTAATTAAATTAGATAATATGGTAGATGTAATTAATTATTGAGATTTTCACGAATGAAAAATATTTGCCTTAATAATGAAAAATAAATATTATGAATATCAGTAGCTTTTGGTGCATTAAAACTGATAGTTTCGAAATTAATTTGAAATGAGAAAATTGCATAAGCTTTACTGGTTACAGGTATTCAATAATTTATTTTAATCCAAAATTGATATTTAAACAAATCTTTTACAGCTGTCTGTTAAATTATATTATTTTATGCGGTAATCAGAAATAATCGTACCAAAATTTACGTTTAAAAATGACGAATTTCCAGAAGATACTTTTAAATATTTTAATAATTCTGAGGCCTTAAATTTTTGAAAATCATAAATAGTACTTACAATCAGACAAAACTTCATATTACTTAACCTACTAACTGAAAAAAACAAATTGACTCATTTTCATCCTGTGTGTCTAATTCTTGACCAATTATTAAATGTACAGTATCGATCACAGTAGGTTTCTCTAGGGAAAATGATGTTATAGGAGAAACAGGAATTCTTAAAATCATAATTTGGACGATATTAATATTAGGAGTGATTTAGAAACAAAATAATTTTTAATTATTAAATATTATAAAATTGGTGGGAGGTTACGCAGCATTATATGTATGTGGAACTCCCCTCCCCCTACAACGTCATCCTCTGCAGAGCTACCTATGGGTAGGGGTGGGAGCCCGAGACAGGGAAAGTCTACAATGGTCGGTACTGTACTTGCAAATTATTTCGGTATCTTTAATGTCACACCTTTCTAATTGCTATTTTAAATTTAAATATTGTTTTACCCCTTTTATAAAGTTGAAATGTTACAAATAAATAGTACGAGAATAATTATAATAATTTATAATACATTCAAACTTTTAAAAAATAAATCCTAAATTGAATTAATTGCCCCACCTAATATAATATTATGCTGTCAACATATTAAAGCATAAAATTGATCGTCTTGCATTAAACAATAACAATTAACACTCACATACAACGTGTGCATGATATTGTCGTAAAAGTTTTGAGGGGTGTTTTTCAGGATCGCTGGAAGCGCACCTTGAATCAACGTGTTACTGCCGATAATTCTCTGACTCAAACAGTGAAGTGCTTTCCGTATCTACGGCAAAAAGAAGAAAATGGAGGAGATTTATCAGGTATTCCAGTCGTTAGGAATCGCGGGAGATGGATAGAAGAGGAAGGGCACGAATTAAAGTTTCTTCAAAGCAAGATTCGGCTCGAACTCTTAGCCATCCTCTGCTAATTTTTTTCATGACAAAATTAAACCTCGAACGAAGTTGAGAACGGTGCCAACAGACGAACTTCAACGGCGGATAATAAAGTTTAATCAACGAAATTTAATTCTATCGCGTGGAAACGACGTGGTCGTAGGCTTCAAGCTGTTCTCCCTGTTTAACTCAAATTTTTCTATACTCTCAGGAAACAATATTATTTGAGATAATATTCATTATAGTACATAAATTTAATTTGTATAAGAAATTTAGAATCATTTTTAAGATACAAACCGGTGCTTTGGGTACACTGTTTGTCTTAATAACTTTGTAACGATAAAACGGCCCTTTAACAATCAATCATTTTTATATTAAATAAATAATGTTAATAAAAGGGCTTATACAGCCATTTTCAGCAGACTTTAAGCTTTAAATTGATGTACCTACCATAAATGCTATTTTGCGATGATTTTATGTTATCAAATTGTGTTAAATACATTTCAAAATTGGTAATTATTAGCTGTAATTGTAAACCAGTTAATTTGTATTAACAGTATTAATAAAGCATTTATATAGTTATTTTTAGCAAACTTTAACCTTTAGATTGATATAGGGTAAGTGTTGTTTCGCAGTATTTTTATGTTATAAAATTGGGTCTGTACGAACGGAAAAAAGAGGCGTTTTTTCCGTCTCGGGATCGTCTGCCAGACTTATCAGTTGGGCTGACGACAGACGATCCTTGTCCCAGACACCTATAACCCCGCTTTTCGGAACTCCTATACAGGGTGTTACCTATAACGTTACTCACGATTTTTCACCTACTTTCAGCCATCTGACAAAAAAAGTTTAGAACAAGAGTTGCAGGGTATGAAGAGCACAATAGATATCAGTCACAAAAATTTCGAAAACTGTTTGTTTTCATGGCGAAATCGAAGTCACCTTGGGTTTTACAAATAGGACCATA